CATTGAAGAACTGTATCAATTACATGGACGTCTTCAACAAGAAATACAAGAGTTAACTGATCATGATCCACTTGATATTCTCGCAGTACCATCTGATAAACTATTACATTTAGCAGCTGTTAATCTTCTAATTCAACACTCACGACGAAATTAAGTATATTCGGTTGAGTATTAGCTTTTATTAATATAGCTGGGAATTTTAGGTAGTGTAAGTTTATTTTTCCGTGTTAATAGTACGAGCAAAAATACTTTTATCGGTACTAATTACAACTTCATAATGATAATACCTGAACTGTTATTTCTCACATTTGTTTACTTCGATCGCACTCAGTTTCACAATTGAACCTGTAAATACATAAAATATCAGTATACTAGAAAGAGCAGTTATTAAGCTAGATTTGAAGAGTTAGTGGTAATGTGACGGATAAACTGAGCTATTGCGGTCCTGTGCAACTCAATAGAATGCCGCAAAGTACTCGTTTTTTCGTCATTTTACATCGAATTTTTTTTTAAATTTGAATTTTTTAATCTTTTGTTATATCTTGAGTTTTTCGAATTTTATAATACCAGTCGTTTTTGTTGTATTTTGATTTTGTAAATAAGAATGACTTCATTAATATTTTCATGCATATTTATTTCTCTGAGATAGTCAACTGTTAATGGGTTGATAATTTATTATGAATCTAATATCTTTTTTTTAGTTATGATTTTAGAATATTTTATGTATCGGTCGAGGCCAAGATTTATAGCATCATGTATTTATTATCTATTATTTACTAAAAATATCCGTTAATTTATTTATTTATTATTAATTATTTTACATTAGTTTAAACAAAAATTCAGGTATGTGTAACTGTCTTTTATATTGAATTTACCATCGGTATATTACTTTTAGATCGTTTAGTTTTGACATTTTATATTTATCTTTGTAAATTCTGCTTTAAAAGTTCCTCTGTTCTATCTAAACTATTGTTAATCAAGGTCTCTGTTGACTTCAGTTTTAGAGAGGACAGTTGGACTCCTTTAGCCATAAAAAATTCAAATGTTGGCATTTCATTATTTGGAAAGTCGAACTGATTTTTAAAGACCCTTTAGTCTCATGTCTCCTCTTCCGACCATCGAAAATTTCTATTTCTCCTCATTTTGTCTATATTCGAAAAACAGCTGTGATCACTCTTTTGCGAGATAGAAAATACGTAGAATGACGTTTCTCTGAAAACTAAATGTGGATGATTGTTAGCTAAATACTCTCATTGTTGGGAAGAATTGAATCTTTTAATAGAAAAACTAAAATTTTATCGTTCATCATCACATAGGAAGCAAATGAGGACAAATTAAATTTGACTTTTGATTAGTTCAGGTTTGAAAAAAGTTAATATTTGCTAGATATGTTGTATCTGTTAAAAGAAGCATGCATTAAAAATTGGGTATTGTTAACATTAGTGTTAAAACATTAGTAGTGGGATAGATAATCTAACGCATTCTCATTCAATGTAAATTATTTTAAATACTTTAAAATTTATTCTGTTGTATTGTAGAGAAGCTATGGTAAATTCAACGGCAGATTCAATGAAAAATATGAATATAAACGATGCCAAAAATATAACACTGGATACTAGTAACATTGTTAAAGTTCTTGTGATTGGTGAAACAGGTTCTGGCAAATCAACATTTATTAATTATTTAACAAATTATTTTCGAAATGGTTCATTAAATAATATAAAAGTAGCAATACCTTCAAAATATCATCCACAAATAACGGAATCATTTAATTATTGTGAAAATAATATTTCAGATATAACACAATCAAAAACGGACACGTGTAATCAATATATTTTTATTGAAGAGAAAACATACAGACAATATCTCTTTTTGGATACACCTGGTTTATCTGATACACGTGGTGCTGAACAAGACAATATAAATATGAATAAAATAATTGAAGGTGTAGAAAATCTTCAAGGTTTAACAGCTGTTATTATCGTTGTTAATGGTACAACGGGTCGTTTAACATTAAATTTACGAAATGTTATATCAAAATTAAGAGGAAATTTACCTGATGTTGTTATGGATAATGTTATTGTTATACTAACAAATGCTAAACGACACGAAGCCAATTTTCAATTATCATCATTACAATTACATGGTACAGTTTATCCATATTATATGCAAAATTCAGCATTTTCACAAGATCCAAATATATGGGATCAAACAGCCATGAATGCATTACAATTTGATTGGGATCAATCAATGGATGAAATGAAACGAATGATTGAAACAATTGATACATTTAAAACAAAATCTGTTTCAGCCTTCAAAGATATGAAAGAGATTCGAAATGCAATTAAAGCGTTAATGCATGAAGCTCGTTTAGAAGTAAGTAAAATTCAAAAAATGCAAGATGAATTAGCTGCATTTGAACATGCCTTAAAACAATATAAAACCGAAGAAGTATCGTATAAAAATTATATAAAAGAACGATATGTTGAAACAAAAGAATTAGTTGATGCCAAATATAATAGTACCGTATGTCGACGATGTGATTTTGTTTGTCATGATAACTGTGGTTTGAATGAAACAACAGCACATAGTAATCAAATATTAACACGATGTTGGGCTATATTACCTCAGAATGGTTGCTGTACACAATGTCCTCAAAAATGTTTCTATACCGAACATTATCATGCCCGAAAAAAAATGAAAATTAGTCAAAAAAAATTACAAGATGTTTTATATGATATTAAAGTTAAATATGATAATGCATCAAAAAATAAAAATGATTTTCAACAAAAAATTCAGTCAACAACAGATACAAAAAAAATGTTAGAACAAGCATTAAAACAAAAAAATGAACAACTTAAATTTAAATGTAATGAATTGAGAAAAATATGCAGTGGTTTTAATCTAGCACAAGAATTATATGCATTTATTGATCATTTAAAGGCTGAATCGACAATGCTAAGAAATGTTGAAGCTAAGCAACAAGCCGAAGAATTTATACGTAGTCTAAGTGAATTTTGTAGACAATTGGAATTAGATCAAACATCAAAACAAGTATTACCGCCAATGAAATTAGTTGATACATACAAATCTGTTCCACTTCGATCATCAGTAAGTACTACCAGTTCAACACCAATGTTATCATCATCAGCATCATCATCATCAGAAGATGCCCAACAAGTTGGTCCAAATTTGAATAGTAGCGTTCTTGATCTAATAATAAAATTAAATAAATCACACAAAAGTGATAGTGATGATGATGAAGAACAAGAAGAAACACCACGTAATAGACGTCGAAAAAGTATTCAACGAAGAAATAAAAATGAAGATAGTAGCGAAAGCGAAGAGGAAAGTAATGATGAAGAAGAAGAAAAACAACAACAACAACAACAACATGATCGACATCAAACAGGGCAGAAAAAACAATTACTAAAAAAACAAAATGTTGAACAATGGAATTTAATTAGTACACCAGATTTGGTAATTCGCCATAGTGATTGTGGTAAAGATAAACGTACAGCAAATTTGATACTACAAGAATTGAATAAACGTGCTCAAGGTAAATCATCAGGACCATTGTTAACACCATCTGATGTTGCTACATTTACCAAATATACACAAACGTATACTCCTCTTGATGCACCAACATTAAGTCATATTTATTTACAATTACAACAAAAAATTAGTAGCATTACAGAACCGGATATTTTGAATATAGCTCGTGTTCCTGCTAATATGCTGTTCGAAATAGCAGCTATATATACGTTAATCACACAAAAAAATGCCATGATGAATTATCCAGATCAACGACTAGCTAATTTTTCATCCTACAGTAATAATGAACAATTATTTCGAGAACGAGAAAATAGCGTATGCGATTTACCACAATTTTCTCCCGATTCAAACTTTGGTCGTCCATTTATAGAAAACATGAATGATATGACTCGTCAACAAAGTTATCCACCAGCTATTCAAAATCGATTTAACTACAACAACAGTAACAGACAAGTGAATAACACTGGATTCTCAACACACGTCTATCCACAAGTTCAAAATCGACCACTTTTTTCTAATCAAACAACATTTGAACCCATACATGATCCAAAACCAATTAATGTTAAAAACGTACAAAATACTTCCTATCAATCATCACCTTCATCACAACTTTATCCTAATTTAACGCGACAAGAATTCGGCCCTCCAACCATACAACCACCACCATCATCATTCGCCATGTTTGATCAATATTTATCATCACCATCACCTTTGGGTTCACCCTATAATGTTCTATCTTCACGTGCCGGTTCAGCATTTGCCATGGTTACACCCAAAACAGACTCCCCCGACTTTACCATTATTTCAGTAAACTCAGCAACAAATGATTTCACATTTTCACCGTCATCATCATCTTCATCAGTTTTGGTTACTGATATATCGGACGAATCTCTTAATAATGCAAATATCACAAAATTGTTAACATTATATAATGATGCTGGTGCAACAAATAAACCACCTCTTCAACATGCAATCTATGGAGAATTAGAACGACGATGTTATGGAAATAATCCACAATTAATTAAAGATCATTCAGGATTTTATGATATGAAAATGAATGAATATGAATTGAAATCTCAATCAGAATTAGAAACATTATATTCACAATTAAAACAGAAAATATATACTAAAATCAATGGTGATGCAACACACATTAATGAAATACCAAAAGAGTGGATTATTGAAGCTGGTGCACTTTTCAATACTATACAAAAGAAGAAAAAAGACAATGGAGACTAGTTAAGTGTTGTATTGACAACAGATGACCATTTAATTGTTCACTCTAAAATTTAAAGAACGATATATATTTGATCATTTTCTAGTTCAGTTATTAACAGTGATTTAATTCAACTCTATTTTAAATATTGATTACATTAATGTTTTGATTACTTTATATAGAATTCTTTATGTTTTCATTGTAGAACATTATTGCAAAATGGAAAGTGGTGACTTAACTTTAACAGAGATATGATATATTTACTCACTTTTATTTTTTTTGCGATTATTATTCATTGTACTTTTCATGCTTTTGTCCCTTTTGTGCCGAAAAAAAAAACACGGAGAAGGAAGTAGTCAATGACATTGACAGTGAGTCAATTAAAAGATAGCGACCATTTTTTAGATTTAACAAATTTATTCTAAATAATCGAAATACAGAAATAAATACAAAAAAAAAAGCATACTCACTATCAAGTGCAATTTTATTAGTAGAATGAACACAAAAAATAATTGATTACAACAGCTATGATCTCATCTTAATTGACAATTGTTGTGATGTTACTTCATCTATACACCATAGGAATATATTTTATGATCAATTTTGCACTTATTTCTTAGTTTAATTGCAAAAAACAAATCAATCACAGAGGTTGTCTCATTTTTACATAGTCAGAAACTTTTAAAAAAGTGTGACTTGATGACAAATTTTTGCCACGTTCAGATTGTCATATGCTGACTAGTGCTTCAGTTTAGTCCGAAAAAGAAATAAAGTTTCATAGAAAATTGTGATCAGCATGAAAAAAGATTCGAGAACAAAGAACGGCTTTTATCCTTGAATCTATTCATTTATTCCATGATTCTCAGCAAAATCAGTTTTTCCATTAAAATTTGAGTGAACAACGGTATAGTAGCGATATATTATAATGGCAGGACTCCATTAAATATAATTGTATAATTATCTAACAATTTTTATACCACTTCGAATTTGTGTAACAACGTTTGCTTTCAAGAATTTTTAGTACAATTATTTCACAAGTTGAGATTATAAACATAATGAAAAGTTGACTGATGTTAATAGAGTGTACACTGGAATACGTGCTATTTTCTACCACTAATTTTCGATCAATGTTCGATAGTAATTGTTAAACTTTCAACAAGAATAGCGGAATAAAACATAAAATGTAAATTAGAAACATGTTAGATCTCAGATGTTCTGTACCATTGAGTCGGTATCCATTATAATATCCCGCACCATAGTTATTGTTATTTGGATTACCGTAATTACTGTTTTGACCATAACTTCCTCCATATGGATAATTTCCATATTGTCCATAATTCGAATTACCATAATTTTGATTCGAATATGGATAACGATTATTCGTATTAGCCCATCCTTGATTCTGATCGCCTAGTTGTCGACGACGTCTTGCACGTCCTCCATCTAAATAAATTGAATATACTACTGTAGACGAATATTTTCAAATATAAGAAATATTTGATTTCACAACACTTTTTGGGCTTTATCTTAGTGTTTTTAAACAAGTTTTCAAAACAAAGGAAGATATACTAACAGTAGTAAACTCTTCGCTATAGAATTTACCAGATAATTGACTAGTTAGAATCAGAATGATGAACAATGTAATCCACATGATTAAAAACTACAGTCACTTTTTTAATTTGATAATAAACAATTTTATTTTGGTTTTATGAATAAGTTATTAAAGAATCGCACATCGTATTCAACTTTTTCTGTTGTTGTTATTAGATGAAATTTGATTTTTTTTCTTTCTGTTTTTTTTTTACTCACATATATATTATAACGAATTCTGTTTTTGTACCATTTCTTACTTCTTATATATTATGCCATTTCGCCTTTATGTATGCGTATATACAGAACATTTTTTGTCGTCTTCTCTCTCTCTCTCTCCATCGTTGTAGTTTCAATGTCGTGTAACTATACTTTAAAAAAAACTCTAATATTTTTATATCAAAAAATAATTATGTGCACAAAGCAAAAAATAATGCCATTCAAAGCTATAAATTTTTAAAAAAAACAAAAAAAGAATAACGATCTTCCTTTCTCTGCTTTGATTGATTATGACTGTTTCCATTCTGGTCCGTCCACTTTTTACACGACTTTGAGCCGCTCAGATCTCACTATGCTGACTTTATAGCCCGTGTCGAGTTGTATAGGAATCCACGTTTGGTTCTAAAAAAGGGTGTGCGGAAAATAGCCGGTACGTATTCGTAAAAGACGGTTTTAACAAAAATCCTCCCTAGGAATAGGTCGATTTTTCTTAAATGAGACTTTTTCAAGAAACTCTAAGTTAGCCATTCGATAGAGCTTAAAATGTTGTGTAAATATCATAAGTGACAAAGTTATAGCTAATTATATGACCCGACGGTAAATTTTACAAAATATGCTCCAAATGATAACCTACCATCATTTTTAGAATGACTATAAAATCGTTGAAAAGCACGAAAATTCCAACTTTTTTATATTCAAAATGTATCCAAGCTCATACTCGATCAAATGACGCAAAGCTGAGCTTTATATTTCTTTTCGCTATAGAGATATTTGTCTTACAAGGTCCTTCAACAAAAATCCTCAACTTTATCCTTGCTTTTCTCAAAAATTCTCCACTTTTTTTCCATGAAAATTATATCAGAAAATCAGTTTAGTGTGTATTACTTACCTTAGAAATTTCAAAGTCGGTACATCACAGTTTCCTGAGATCTCAAAAAACGATTTTCCAGAAGATCTGTAAAGAACCCTCAATTTTAAAACTTATTTTCAACACATCTGCACGATAGAATAGATGATTCTCTTTCAAACGAGACGTTCTCGAACTGTTTGTCATCGTGCGTTCATGAGAAATGAGCGTTACAAATTATATTTTCAGTTTGGCGTGTTGCGATCGATTTCTTCTAAAAAAGGCTCGAAGAATTTTGTCCAGCTTTCGTTTCAATAAGACAAGCGACAGAAGAAACATATCAATTTTATTTTTCTAAATTAACCCTTTGGTGACGGGGCCCGTATATATACGGGCAGTACATAAAATCGTCGTTACTTCACTTATTTTGCACCTTTCTCACTTCCCATATATTTTCTAGCAAAAATAATAATATATTTGAGATCAGCAGACAAAACTGGGTCGAACAGCATACTTAAAACTCGGTTTTCAGTCAAA